CTTCTTCTTCTTCTTCTTCTTCTTCTTCTTCTTCTTCTTCTTCTTCTTCTTCTTCTTCTTCTCCTTCTCCTTCTCCTTCTCCTTCTCCTCCTTCTCCTTCTCCTCCTTCTCCTTCTCCTCCTCCTTCTTCTCTCTCTCTCTCTCCCCCTCTCTCTCCAACATTACCATAACCATACATCAATCCTGTTCCCTTCACATCATAATTTACATTGAAACATAAAATAAAAGACATTTTTCCAGTGTATACGCCCATGCTTATGAACTCCTAATTCCTTTTTAAACTAATTAAATATTTATCCATTAAAATTAAACAGCTTTGTATTTCTGCTTGGCTACTAAAGGAGAGAGCAGAGTTACGAGTTTTTGTATCTCTACCTTTATGCACTAGTTATTTTCTTGTTGCTGTGAGAATCATAAATCTAAAGGAGAGAGAGTATAGTTTGACTTGTTGTTCAAGCTGATAGTTCATTCATTTTTGGAGACTTACAACACATGGGACTAGGCATGGTCACAGGAAGAGCATAGAGTGACCAGAAAGTGTAGTCAGGCTATCAAACCTCAAGGTCCCATCCCAGCAACCCAGTTCCTGTGAGGAAGCTGCCGTCTTCTTCACAAGCATCATCACCATCTGAAGACCAAGTATTCAGACAAATGAGATTGAGCAGACAAATGAGATTGAGAGGGCACTTGACATTCAAACCAAAACAATAACATTAGTTTCATGTTCACTAGGACAAAGAATCTGACTGGCCATCTTCCCACTGAGAATACCACAGACATCATAGTTAGCAAACAAGAGCTCTATAAACTCTGCAAACATTCATTTTCCACTGTTTATTTTTCAGTTTTGAATTTGCAATGTCAGAACAGGTTGTTTGTTTCTAAAGGACCCACTCCACCTCTAGCTCAGTGCCTAACTGTTTAGTGCTTAACTGAGCTGAGCTATTGTGCAGACTAAAACCCAAGAGGGAGAGAAACTGTTTTCAGGAGCTGTGTGGTCCTGAACTGAAGCATAGAGCAGAGCGGGGAAGAGGGATACAAAGCAGATGATATTCAGCCACGACTGAATAAACATTGCTAACTTTATTCTATGGACACGTGTTTTGTGTGGTCCATGATCAATGCTCCTTCTTCTGGCATTTTTTTCTCCAGTTACACTAGTTCATTGTTTAGAATCAGGTCAGTCACCACCCCTGTAGCTTTTTTAATTTGCATAACTTCTGTTATCAACCTTTTGGGAAGACTAGAAATTCTAGCTTATCAAGTAAGATTGTTCACGAAAACATCACTAACATCAAAGTTGTTATTTTGGTGTGAGAAATGTAAGCTTGCTTTGAGACTTTGTATTTCATTTTCACTGACTGCTGTGAGTCCACTTTGAGTATTTTTAATACCATTGACTTGGATTACCTAAAGTGTATTTAGTTCACAGATCTATTAATGTTCCATACACTCAAGCCTTTGTATTGGTGTTCATTCAAAGTGTTTCAAGCTATATTTTACCAAGAATAATTTCATTTTTCCTAAGGAAGAATGCTATTCCCTATTTTATTTATAAAAATAGATTTCTTGGTGCTGACTTAGATGGATCAATAGTTAAAAACACTTGCTACACAGGCACAAGACCTTGAATTTTAATCCCCAGCAACACCATAAAAAGTCAGGCATGATTGGACATGTGTCCCCATGCATCTGAAGGAAGAGACAGAGGGAATATTAAAGTTCTCTGACTAGCCAGTACAATTGCCAGTGAAAGCTTCCATGTCAGTAAAAGACCCTATTACAAGGAAATAACAAAGAAAATAACAGAAGAAGACATCCATAAAATCACAGTGGCATAAAAATGTGAACAATGACTAGTCAAGTGTCTAGATAGTCAGTTCTGCTGACGTCTGTGAGACGTCCTGCTCTTGCCCCCAACACCATCAAGTACTTATACAAATACAACACATACACAAACCACACTCATATACATGCACACATACCACACTCATATATACTTACACACACATACACACGACTCATACACACTCACATACAGTCATATACATACTACTAATGTACTCTCAGATGCACACTCACAACACAAGCATACCTCATGTATCATTCATTTATGCACACACAATAATTTTTAATTAAGCAGAACTAAAGTGTAAAGGTGCCATACTTATCTGTCTGGAAAGGAGTACAAGAAATTTTTTATTCTTGCAAAGAGAGGAACTAAAAATTGAAGAAAACATGTAGATGTAGATGTTTTCTATAATCATGCCCAGTCATCCAGAGGTGTGCTAAAGACACTGCCAGACTAGGTAGACATGCTTTCTCTATAGATTGCAAAAGTATGGTGCCGTTAAGGGTGTTGAGATGAGCAGCAGATGGACAAGAGGAACATAAACCTTAGGGAAACTGTGTTAAAATTACTTTTTCATTTTATCCCCTTGTCAGAGAATGAAAAAAGAAAAAACCTGATATGACCCTGAATTGTTTTTCATGTTCTCTGTAGAGATTTGTAATCTTTCTTTGGGTTGCTCCTCATCTAAACCATGATTTATACTCACCTTCTTCGCCTAAAATATATGTCCTGGACAAATGAGATGACTCATCAGGTAAAGGCACTTTCTGTCAAGCCCAAAGACCTGAGTTCAAACCTCAAGACACAAACGGTACAAAAAGAGAATTCATTCTTGCAAGTTCTCCTCTAACTTCTAAACACATATTTTGACCTGCTGAACTCTGCATATACATCAATCAAACAATGTAAAAATAAAATGTGTTCCCTTTCCCTCCAGGTTTATCTGATCTGGAGATTGTGGCCCAGTCTGTTTTCTTTATTTTTGCTGGCTACGACACCACTAGCGGTGCTCTTTCCTTTGCTATGTATTTGCTTGCCACTCACCCTGATGTCCAGAAGAAACTGCAGGACAAAATTGACGTTGCTCTACCCAATAAGGTGAGGATATGGGACCTGGAATGGGAAATCTGGCTCTTTTTCCCATTAGGTGAGAAACTTTGCACAGGGCAATAAGCATTGATTCTTTTTCCAGTTCTATTTAAGAAAGATCTGAAGAGATAAATGAGTGAGAAGCAAGCATCAGCTATTGCTTTATAGATGAATGTTGGTATATCTGCATTCATTATCTGTCATTAAAAGCTACCAGGAGACCATCACAAAATCACAGTGGCATGGAAGTGTGAGCATTGGTTACTCAAGTGTCAGGGTTGTCAGCTCTGCTGATGTGTGCAATGTGCTGTTGCCTGCTCACACTGTTGTCTGAGTGTGACTGGCCTTGGTTGGGCTGAGCTGGGCAGACCGATTTAGCTCTGCCCCACACATCTCTCTCCACTCGTAGCTGACATGAGTCAAACTCTTGACCCTATATTATAATCTTTTCAAAAGTCCCATAAAGTAATAGTCACATGTTACCCACATTGGTCTTTACAACTCTACCTAAATTGAGAGGCTGTGGGGTGTGAGGTTATGTAGTCTGAGGAATAGGCTGTCTGGTTTGTCACTCTCTTCAGAGCTCACAGGAAGCTCTGAAGGAACAGCCAGAAGGCTGGACCAGCAACAGAGAATAGGGCTGAGTGATAGATCCTGTTCTCATTGTGATTTTTACCATGGTCAGAATTGAGCATTTTGATAGCAATGACTTTTTCTGTCTTTTGTTGTCTTTAGTATAGAAGAGACTGTTATACCTCCTTAGATCACCTGGTTTTGTTTTTGCTTTTTGCTGTACAACCATGTTGCATGTTTTTATTTAATTTTAGACTATTTTTTTCCATTAGACTTGTTTATTCAAGTATCGGAAAACACTCTTTCCACTTCCTCCCCTCCTCCCAATACCCTCCCGCTCCCCCCACTCCCCCCACTCCCTCTCCTCCTCCCTCATCATTCCCAAGAGCAGTCAGGGTTTCCTGCCCTGTGGGAAATCCAAGTTCCTTCCCCCTCCCTCCAGGTCCAGAAAGGTGAGCATTCAAACAGGCCAGGATCCCAAAAAGCCAGTCCATGAAGACGAAACAAGACCCAGTGCCACTGACAATGGCTTCTCAGTCTTCATTTGGACCTTGGGGGCTCAGTCAGCCCCCATGTCAACCACATTCAGAGAATCCGGTTTAATTGAAAAGAATTGCATCACTTTTCTTCCTGCCCTTTTCTTCCTCAAGCCTCTCCCATGCCTCTCCCATGTGCCAATTTTCAAGTTGATAACCCGTTTGTATTACTATTGTTGCATAAATATATACACATGTTTTTATGTATGTACACATACACACAATCTGCTGAACTCATTTTTGTTGCTTGTGTATATATGTTATATATGTAAATACTCTGCATTTGACAACCAATAAGAGAGTTCATCCTTGAGAAAGGCCAATTCTCCCTCCTCCAAAAGTCATTAGTTCCTGAAGTTATTAGCCTAGGAGTGGAACCATGTGAAATTATCTCCATCAGTTCACAAGTCCATTTTCAGTGCCACTGTTCTGGTCTTGTTTATGCATCCATTTCTAAGAAAGACTGTTTCATAGCAAACTTCCTCTTATCATCTTTCTACCAACCTCATCTTCTCCATGTTCTCTGAGCTGTAAGTGCAGGAGCTGTAGTGTAGATGTATCTATGATCCATTGATCCCTGTATTGTGTCCAGTTTCCTACAATGATCTCCATTTGATGTAAAGAGGAGTTTCTTTGATGAGCTGTAGTAGCTATGAAAGTTTATCTTTCAGCCATTTTAGATTTCTCTGTTGAGAATTCTCTGTTTAGGTCTGTACTCCATTTTTTTATTGGATTATTTGTTCTTTCGATGACCAATTTCTTGACTTCTTTGTATATTTTGGAGATCAGACATCTGTCTGATGTGGAGTTAATGAAGATCTTTTCCCATTCTGTAGGCTAACATTTTGTCTTGTTGACCATTTTCTTTGCTTTACAGAAGCTTTTCAGTTTCAGGAAGTCCCATTTATTTATTATTGCTCTCAGTGTCTGTGCTACTAGGGTTATATTTAGAAAGTGGTCTCCTGTGCCAATGCATTCAAGTGTACTTCCCACTCTCTCTTCTATAAGGTTCAATGTGGCTAGCTTTATGTTGAGGCTTTTGATCCATTTGGACTTGACTTTTGTGCATGGTGATAGATATGGGTCTATTTTCATTCTTCTATATGTTGATATCCAGTTATGCCAGCACCATTTGTTAAGTATGCTTTCTTTTTGCAATTTGATGTTTCTTTGTTTCTTTGTCAAAGAATAGGTGTTCGAAGTTGTGTGGATTAATATCCAGGTCATTGATTGACTCTCATCTGTATTTTATAGAATTTCACATATATATGTGACCTCTCTGCAGAAAGATAACACTAACTGTGCCATGTTGTTGTTGAGTGTAATTGTCATAATCTACTAGTAATGGTAATGTGGAGGATTGAAGACCCTGTGTTTGGGATTATCCTAAAGGATTGCTTCTCAATGGATTATTGAACAGGTTGAAGAATGTGAGTTAATAAAATGCCAGGTGGTGATGGTGCACACCTGTAATCCTGGCACTCAGGAGGCAAAGGAAGAGGGATTTCTATGAGTCTGAGCCCAGCCTAGTCTACAGAGATAGTTCCATGACAGTTACACAGAGAAATCCTATCTCGAAAACGAAATTCTTTGTTAATGGTAAAGTTTTTATCAATAGCAGTTATTCTGTGGAACTCCAAACACTTCTGCAATACTCCATAAATGAAAATTAATTCAAAATATTAATTCATTAATCTCTCTCCCTCCCTCCTCCTCTTCCCCTCACTCTCCCTTTCCTTTCATCCAGGCACCTGCTACATATGATGCCCTGATCCAGATGGAGTATTTGGACATGGTCGTGAATGAAACACTCAGATTGTATCCAGTTGGTGGGAGACTTGAGAGGATCTGTAAGACAGATGTTGAAATCAATGGGGTGCTCATTCCCAAAGGGACTGTGGTGATAGTACCAACCTTTGCTCTTCACAAAGACCCAAAGTGCTGGCCTGAGCCTGAGGAGTTCCGCCCTGAAAGGTACAGAGACCCTGGAAAGAGAAACTATCCAAGACTGGACTAACTGAAGCATGATTTGTTGTCTCTTGGTGTTAAAGATATGCTTTTAGAAACAACAATCTGTCTGTCTGTATCTCTGTATCTCTACTTGCCTGTTTTTCTGTCTATGTAAACTTTCAAGTATATCATCTGCCATTATTTTCTCAGCACCATCTTATGTTTTATAATGTACTTTTCATTCAAGTCGGGCTTTTCTTGCCATTCCCATTAGCTCTCCCATCACCTTTAGAGAACATCTGCATCTTCCACTTGACCAGACATTGCCTCCTGGATCTTCTATTATGGCTGCAATGGTGTCTCTGTGGATCTGGAGTCCCTCCTCCATTATGCTTACAGCAGCCCTTCAGAAGACAGTGGAGCCCATGGGCTCTCACACTCCTGTCTCTAGCTGTCATCCTAGCCAACGTCCTTATACTTAGTGACTCTTCTAAGGCAAAGTCACCTGCTCATCTAGAAACCTTCTTCATGGGAGATGTTTCAAGTAAATTCTTCTGAAAATTTTGGAGTCAAAGTCAGCCTTCAGTCACATTTTAAATCTAAAATTACTATTTTCTTGATCTCTTGCTTGGTAACCATAGCAGAGAATAGAAGTTTTAGCACTGAGGCTAAAAATCAAAGGAGTTATGATCCAGATATGTTCTGATAAGGATTTTCTACTGTCAGAATACATGTCATAGTGATTGTGGCATGCTTGCTGCCACCATAATATTTACTGAGGGTTTCAAGAGGGATTGATGCATTCCAGATGACTTATATGTTCCCTCAGTCTCAGCAATTCTACCACCTGTAGTAATGGGACTATAAAAACAAGAATCATTAATTATATTTATGATGAATTTTTAACAGTGAAACAAATAACACATGCCTACTTCGTATATGGAATACTCCAAACACTGATAAAAATCGAAATATTAATGTAAGTCTGCTAGAGAGAATAGTTGACAAGTGCCCAAGAGTAATAGGTAGAAAATATATGTACCACATTCTAAAGGGATCTCTATGTGTCCAGCAACCATTCACCCATGTAAGCTGTTCCATACACATCATCCACAACTCTCTCTCAGCTGTCACATAAAATGTGTGTGTATGTAAGGATGTATAACATACAATCCATAAATACTTGAGAATCTCCTTTGAAATATATGTTACAGTTTGAAATACATAAGCACATAACAACTATCACCCTTCTAAAATCATTATTCTTCTCTTAAATATTTAAAAAATAACAAATTTAAATAAAATGTATTTTCTCAAGGACAATATAATGCCCAAGGACACATATAAAGAAAAACATTGATGGTATTGCACTGGAGTGGCTTTGTATATTTTCTAAGATATCTCACATAAATACTCAATAAAGAAGGAAGGGACGTAGGAAGAAGCAAAATAATGGGGAAGAACAGAAAAAGAAGAAAAAAAGAAGGGATGGGAGGAAGAGAGGGATAGAAAAGAAAGAAAGAAAGAAAGAAAGAAAGAAAGAAAGAAAGAAAGGAAGGAAGGAAGGAAGGAAGGAAGAAAGGAAGGAAAAGATAAACGAGGAAGTAGGGGAAAGGATGGAAGAAACACAGAAGGAAATGAATGAAGGGAGGGAGAGTCAAGAAAGAAAGAAGGGAGCTAGCAAGAAGAAAAAAGACTGGAAAATAGTCAAAGAAAGAATTGAGAAGAAAGGAGAGATTTATACAAGGCAAAAGGAAAACAAACCTCCAATAACATACTTCCAGTGTGATATCCTCTGAGCCTGATGAGTGTGTGACCAGCAGAAGTGTGACTTGAGGCAAGAACATGCTTTCCTTCTATTGGCCTCATTTTTGTGTGTCAGAATATGAACATGTCAGTGAGCTAAATGCACTTTACTTGTTTAAGGATAAATCTTCTTAAACTGGGTGTGGTGGCACATACCTTCAATCCTGGCACATGTGAGGCAGAAGCAGATAGATCTCTGGGTGTGAGGCCAGCCTGGTATATATAGAGAGTTTCAAACCAGCCAAGACTACATAATGAGACCTTATCTCAAAAATAAATAATAAATGTTCTTTTGAACATCTTTGATGTCATCTCAGAATGGCTATAAACTTCTCCATGGTAAAGAGAGAGGGAAAAACCTGTAGCCTAAAATTTCTGCAGTATGTCACATACTCCCACACCTAGGAAACATCACGAAAGACAGGGAGGACAGACTGTAGGGGCTGGAAGGTGGGGAGGTATGCAATAGACTGTCTCTTGGACAAGACATGGTCATTGCCATTGTAGGCACACAGCATCTGTGACTTCCTGTAAAAAAATAAGAGGTGTGTGTATGTGAATACTACACACCACACACACACACACACACACACACAGGCACACACACACTCACACGCAGAGACACACACACTCACATGCGCACACACAGAGACACACAAAGAGGCATGAAAGAAGGAGGTGACTAGTAGGGAAGAATGGAATGAAAGAAATGGGATCACAATGTATTGTATACAACTAAGAAACTGTCAAAAAATAACTTTTAAAAGGCCCAGCAGAATTTTCACAAGCAGCCTAGGCAAGTAGCATCCTGCCTACTACTGCTGTGTATATGTAAGAGATATCAAGCAAGGAACTGCTATGAATTTTATGCTTTGTTTACTTGTCTTCATTTACTCCTGCGGGACCAGGTTCAGCAAGAAGAACCAGGACAGCATCGATCCTTACACATACCAGCCCTTTGGGAGTGGACCCAGGAACTGCATTGGCATGAGGTTTGCTCTCATGAGCATCAAAGTCGCTCTTGTCAGAGTCCTGCAGAACTTCTCCTTCCAGCCTTGTGAGGAAACTCAGGTCAGCGTGCTTTCCAAATAAATTACATACAGTTTGGTTTTCTTAATTTGGACCATCTATATGCAGAGAAGAGTATGCTCGTTTTTTGCTCTATGAGCCAAGTAACTTCTTTTGTGATATCTGTTGAGGTTTGGGGCTTCTGGATGCAGGGGCTGGGGGACTGTATCTTATGCAGAGGCTGAGGAGCGGTTCATTCAGGAGAATGTCTGAATTATAAGCATGAAAGCTTGATATTTATCTGCAGAACCCATATATTTAAAAAAATTGGCTTCTAAGAAATGATAACTAATGAAAGGAAAAATAGCTTTCATGTGCACGTAAAGAATATTTCTGCTTGATGAATCTCTTCCTTGTTTCTGTGCTTGATGAACCTTCATTGCTTGGCTCTTACTGTGTTTCTTTAATTCTTGCAGATCCCTTTAAAACTAAGAAAAGGAGGATTTTTTTCAACCAGAAAAACCCATTATTCTAAGAGCTATATCAAGAGATGAAACTCTAAGTGGAGCTTGACAGAAAGTCCATTATGAGATTGCATCTCATAACTACAGATGCCAGCTGATTCTGTGAGGAAAATGCAGAAATCAAGATGACACTGGTTGTCTTCATGTATGGGGGACTAGAGGCATTCATCAAATTGCTCATCTCCTCTAGCCACCCAAGTTCAAAAATCACTTGCTTCTCAAAATAGAGAAAAGCAAGAACATTTGTATGTGTATGAGAGTGTGGTTATTTTTGTTTGTTTCATTTTTGGATTGGATTTGCCAGTTCGTTGTCTTTAAAACAGTGTCATATAAAAAAAAAAAAAACAAGTGTCATATGTACCCCAGACTGGAATCAAACTCCCTATATAGCAATGGATATCTGAGAATCACCTGCCAAGTACTGAGTTATTGTCCTACACTACCATGCCCAGCTAAACTGTCACCTCACAGAAGAATGGACAGTTCTATTCATTAGATACCAATGCTGATTTATTTTGAAATTTTCACACAGTCGAGGTATATGGAGTGAGGACATGGCTGTGTGGACAAAGCCCTCAAATGTTCAAGCAATAACATCAGCAACACTATTTCTAGAGCCCCCTGCAAAAGTTGAACTGAAATAGAATTATTAACATCACTAGTTTGGCTTATCTGTCTTACTTAGGGTTTCTATTGCTGTAACAAAGCACCATGACCAACTGCAACTTGGGGGAGGAAGTAATTTATTTATCTCACAGCTTTCAGTCCATCATCCAGAGATGTCAGAACAGGAATACAAGGAAGGAATCTGGAGGCAGGAAATGAAGCAGAGGCCATGGAGGAACACTGCTTACTTTCTTGCTCCTCATTGCTTGCTCAGACTGCTTTCTTAAATAATGCAAGACCACCTTCCCCGAGGTAGCAAAACTCACTGTGGGCTGGGCCCTCCCACACTGCTCATTAAGAAAATGCACTACAGACTTGCCTAAAGGCCAATTCTTCATAGCAGTTTTCTAAATTAAGATTCTTTCCTTCTTCCCAGATGACCCTAGCTTGTGTCAAGTTGACATGAAAAACTAGCCAGCACAAGAACCCAAATCCATTATCATTTGTAGACAGGTAGACAGAAGTTGTTCATTCATTTTTCAACTGCCAAGACCAGAAATAAGCACACAGAAACTATATTAATTGCAATACCATTTGGCTAATAGCTTAAGCATATTTCTAGCTATCTCTTACATCTTAAATTAACCCATTTCCATTATATCGTATTTTACTATGAGACTCATGGTGGTGCCAGATGTAAGATAATACAAATAAAATAGACGAACACTGACTCAAAATTGGATATAATGAAGGGGTCATTATTTAGAGGGGATTCACAGAGCACAGTCCTCTGCAAGAGCAGAAAACAGAAACCGAATCCATAAGCAAGGTGAAAGAGGAGAGAGAGTGCATGCAAGCGTTATGGCTGCATTTATTGTATAAGAGATCACACCCAAGTGGGCTAGTGTCTTAAAAGCTATCGACTGAAGGAGTTCCCACAGCAATCCTTTGATTTTCTTTTCATAAAATCTCAAAGTCCACAAGTTGAGGAGATGAGTCCCTGAGTAAGTGCTTGCTGTACAAGGATAAAGACATGAACATTTTCCCCAGTACCCATGTAAAAAGAGACAGAAAGATCCTTGGGTTTGCTATTTAGCCAACATAGCCAATTGGTGAAAGACCCTTCCTCAAAAACAAAGGTGGAGAGCAATAGTCAGAGACATTTCATGTTGACTGTAACCTACATGCATTAGGAAAGGTATGAGCACCCACACAAACATGTAGACAAAACACCCACACAATATCAAAGGTAGTGTTAGCAGACTTGTCCATGAACAACTTTGTTCTTCTCATCACAGCTTCATTGATCAAATCTCCTCTCTTTGTCCTTTGCCTCTATTCATCTCTTTAATTAGCACATACAACTGGGTGGTTCAGCCTATGCTGTTGGGATTCTCGGAGCCTAGACTTCTGCACTAACACTTTTACCAGATCAATAGCAAGACTATATTTATTTCTAAGTCTAATGCTGTCATCACTGTTATCTACAATTGAACTTTGACTAACTTGGGACACAGAAAATGGTTAAGTCCATCAATAATGAATGATGAATCATAGTGTTTCAGACCCCTGTATGATTAATTTTACTTAAATGTGATGTAAACATCACCTCGTCTTAGACTGAAACCAGAAGAACTAGCAGCTGTAACTCACTTCTATCCCTATCTGACTGTGAGTCATCTATGTAGTCTGTGTATTCAAAGAAAGCTGTTGACATGCAGTAAATGATTCAATAAATGTGTATGCGGATGACAGTGCTGAGGTTATCAGGACATAGTTCCAGGCATAACGTCAGCCTTCATATCTGCAGCTCCTTTCTCACTATACACATCCCTTCATGTTTAAAGCTATCATTTAAAATAGAACATAGTTCAGAAAAAAAAGTGTGCTTCCCTTTACGGCCCTTTGAAGGTCAAGACTTTTCACCGAATTGTCCATAGTGCTGGCTGGGTTTTAGTCTCAAGAAACGACTAGGCTATCCTACCCAGTTAGACTGTAGGTGGGTAGGACCCAGACAAAGATCATATTGCCCTATTGCAAAATCCTCCTAAGCAAATTAAGTTTTCAGAGGGAACTGTGTTAGTCCCAAAAGAGTTTTATATTTTTTTAGATTGGTATTTTTTTATTTAAATAGTATTAAAAATTTTAAAAAGGAGAAATGAAAACTTCCAAAGATATGCACTAACTAAAGTAATTATTAACAAACACTAATTCAGAATTCAGATAGTACTTAGACGAACCCTACACATAGAGGAGGAAGAAAGCTGGTCATAAACAGAAAAGATACTGAAAGAATAAACATCAAACAGACAAACAAAGAACCTAGACCTGTAACATGAAGGGCCGGCTGGGGTTTCTGTCCCACCCAGTATCCCACAGCTGACAAGTCCCAAAGAAAGTTACACAGAGTCTACATTAGGTTATAAACTGATTGGCCCACTAGCTCAGTCTTCTTATTAACTAATTCTTACATCTGAACGGTAACCCATAATTCTTGCCTGTGTTAGCCATGTGGCTCAGTACCTTTTCCAGCGGGGTAGGTTACATCTTGCTTCTCTGTGGTCTGGGCAGGAATGGCAGAGGAAGCTTCCTGCTTCCCAGAATACTCCCGTTCTCTTTGCTCCACCTCTACTTCCTGCCTGGTTTTCCCATCTATACTTCCTGTCTGGCCAATCAGCATTTATTTAAAATACGATTAAAGAATACAGACAATTCTCCTGCACCATTTCCCCCTCTTTTTTTTAACAAAGGAAAATATTCATAGTTCATTTTTTGGAGGAGAAGAGTTTTATATTTTATGTGTATGTTTGTACGCCTGGTGTGCATGCGTGTGTGTGCATGTGGGGTGTGTGTGCGTGTGCGTGTGCGTGTGTGTGCATGTGGGGTGTGTGTGCGTGTGCGTGTGCGTGTGTGTGTGTGTGTGTGCATCAGTTGTCTCACTCAATCACTCCCCACCTCACTTTCTGACACAGAACCGCTCCACTAAATCTGGAGCTTGATGATTTTTCTACACTAACTAGTAAGCAAGCCCTGCCAGCAAGCCCCAGGGATCCTCCTGTCTCTGTCTTCTCATCACTGGGGTCACATATATGACTTTCTGACTTGAATTCTGGAAGTTCCAACCCAGGTCCAAAGAGTTATGTGAACAAAACTTTTCCTTTGTCTTGATTTTATTCTTTAAAAGTATAAAGGATCCTGTGGACTGACCCCTTCAACACCACCAACACCCCACCACCCACTCCCCTACCAGCCAATCCCTGTGACATCAGAGATCCCTGAGGCACAGACAGATGAAGCAGAAGAAAAGTATAACAGATCTTTGAACTTGGGGAAACTCATTAGTCATCAACAGTTAGAACACAGTGACCTCTCCTTGTTTTCAAGTATTTTGTGTACTTTGGTTGGGATTTCCACACAGAACTCTTTACATTGGCATGACTTGATTGCTAGTTTGTCCCTGATGAGATGAGACCAAGTATTAATTCTAGAAGTAACAATGAGGAAACTGCTGGGGAAGGAATCATAGAATCTGAATCTCAACCAAATTTGCCGTTGTGATCTTGATACTCAGTTTCCTACATTAATGCTAGTGAGGAAATGTGATATTCTGAGTGTTAATCTACTACAACAATTCTAATTTTAAAATATATCTTTTGATTATACTTTGAGAATTCCATATATGTGGATAATAGAAATGTGGTACATATATACCATGGAATACTATTTAGGTATAAAGAAAATGAAATTTGCAAGTAAATGCATGGAACCAGAAAATATTAAGTTGAGTGAGGTAACCCAGACCTAGAACAACAGACAGCCCATAATCTCACTCACCAGCAGTTCATAGAAACATAACAATGCAGGCAACACTGAAGGGAGTCAGTGGTTGTAGTTACATGTTAAATCATTACATGTATACACATTTGTAGCAACAATGACTAAAGAAGGTGGGGCCTTGAATTTGGAGGGAGGAGGAGTAAGAGATAAAAAGAGAGTTGAAAAAAGATAAAACAGAAATAACAAACCACACCTCAGCCAAAACTATCTGGAAGAGTCCTTCCTCAGCAATCTTATCAAATAGAACCGCTTTAGTCCCTGAACAACTTTTATTATGCCCAGTGCAAAATTCTATTTTTCTCTCTACATTCTTAAATATTACCCATTTTATGCTTTCAAAGAGCATTATTAATTTTCATGCTTGTTTTCATGGTGAGATTATAAGTTTGGATATTATTTACAGCTATATCTATGTTACTCTGTGAGGTTCTTTGGAAGAGTTGGTGATCTAAAACTTTGGTTGGGATTGGTCATCTGCTTGTTCTTTTCCTGTGAACCTTTGGTGATCACTTTATGACCCTGAGTTATTAGTACAAGAAGGTTTAATTAGACCTCAATCACCTTCTTAACACATTCAAGCTGATCTGCAGTGAGCTGATGACTACACCAACCAATATCCATTTATGTTCCTTAGGATGCATCCAATGTGAGAGTCCCCGGGAAGAAAAAGGTAGACAAATTGAAATTATAACTTTAATTGAAAAAATGGCAAGTATATAGGCTTGATATGTGTTCAGTGGATCCGAATGCCAGCCCTCATGCTTGCTCTGCAAACACTATATACTGAGCCATCTTCCTAGT